CAGAGTCCCCCATTGCGGGGAGATGGGCAGGGATAAGTCTATTATAAATAAATAAATAAATAATAAATGGGTCCAGGTTACCTGAGAGACTGTCTCACCCCCATTACATCGACCTGTCCCACCTGGTCAGACAGAGAAGGCATGTTACAGATCCAGTTAGTGAGAGAATGTCGACTGACAGGTCCCAAGAGGAGAGCCTCCTCTGCCATTGACATCAGTTTCTTGGAAGATATTTATTATTTACATAGAAATTGTGTTGTAGTGTATTTTAATTAATACTTATTCTATTTTAATTAATATTTTTTACTGTAAAACGCCTAGAGTTGCTCTGTAGTGAGATGGGAGGTGACAAATTTGAAATATAAATAAATAAATAAAAATTGTTTCAACTAGTTTTTTCCCCTTCCCTTCTTTTCCCTATAGGACCTTTGCACATGTTGTGGACTTGTCTGCTGATGTGAGCAAAGAGGCCTCACTCCATTATCAGAAAGTGTGTGAAGACACCCTGGGTCTGGAAACCGTGAAGCAATTGTACTTTAGTTAGACCAAATCTATAGCTCTTGGTGGGTTGTCACTGAAACAGGAGGCTGGTCCTTCTGTTCTTTCATTTTCCTATTGGAGAAGGACTGAAATAGGTCACACCAGGTGGGGTAACATTTTCTTCTCTTGTTTGTTATGATTGCTTGAGAGGAGAGGATATTTTAAAGAGAAACTTGATTGTCTGACATGAAAACTGGATGTAATTGGAAAGGTACAAGAAAAAAGATGGCACAAGATGTGCTTTCTTCCCCTCATCCTTCTTGGTGCCATTTCAGCTAATGGAAACTAGGGTATATTTGCACTTTGGCAGTCTTTCACTTTTGTATTAAAACAATTTTCTCACTGCAAATCTGGTTACAGTAATCTTCATTGGAATAAGTTATTTCTTGCCCTGTAGAGATATTTTACAAATGTTAGCTTTTGAAGGAATGTTTTCAGAATAATTTGAAAAATGAACTTATACCTTGCCTGTAGTGTACAATTTGCAGCAGTCTTCAACAGGAATAATCAAAACAAACACAAAAGCTGATAATCATGGACCAAGCATGAGTAATAGTACAATTTCCAGGGGTTGTGGTGGTATATTTCTTGACTGCTAGTTCATTTACTATTGATCGTTGTTCCTAAAAGGCAGAAGTTATCTTCCACTTCAATATCTTGTCAGTTCCAAGGCTGGTATATGTTGTCATTTGTTTGGTCTTCCTTATGTTTAATCTCAGTTGTATTTATTCACTGTGTTCCTTGACTTTCACTGCTAGAACTTACAGATCGTTTGCATTTTTACACACCATAGTAGTGTCATCAAAATAGCACACATTATTCATGTTTAATTTTAAAAACATGCTAATCTTCTTCTAAGGCAGCTGCCCTCAATATGTATTCAGTATGTAGGCTGAATAAATAAGGAGAGAATATATAGCCTGGCCTTGGTTTTTTAACAATCTGAAGCCAGTCTGTTTCACTATATTCTGTCTGGACTGTGGCTTCTTGTCCTATGTACAGGTTTCATGTGCAGACAATGAGATGTTCTGGGATTCTCATTTTCCTAAGCACATTCCACAGCTTGACATGGTTGACACAATCAAAGGCCTTTCTATAATCAATAAACAATATTAACTTCTTTTTTATATACTTTGGCTTTCTCAATTATTCAGATTTTGTTAGCAATAATATCTCTTGTTCTTTGGCCTTTTCTAAACCAGCTTGAGAATCTGACATTTTCCTTTCCCTGTAGGGCTGTGATATACATTGGATATTCCTAAGCATTATTTTATTAGATTCTGAAACTGAGAATTTTATGTGATAGTTTGCACACTGTTAAGTCTGCTTCCTATGGTATTGGTATGTAGACTGAACTCTTCTACTCTATTGGCCATTGTTGTTATCCAGATTTGCTGGCAAAGTTTGATTAGAACCTTTATAGGTTCTTCTGCTTTGCATATTTCTGTAGATATTCCATTAATAGATAATAAGATCACAAGTCAGAAGGAAGTCCTCTTAGCACAGAACAATGTAAAATTTTTGTGAATAGGACTGAAAAAGATGACATAGCCAGAACAAAACCACAACGAAGTCTGAGCACTGATGGTATCAGTATTGAAAGAAGAGTTCCCTGTTTTATAAGGATACAATCTGAATTTGGTATGTGAGAAACACGAAGGAAAACCCAAAGCTATGAAAGTGAAAATAAAGCATGTAATGCTGAATCTCTAAGGAATAAGCTGGATGAATAGAAATGGGCTGCTTTAATTCAGATGACATATTGATGGTACAAATCCATATCAAAGAATGGAATGGCAATGATATTCAAAAAAGATGTAACAAAAATGTGTGTTTTTGCCAAAATAATTCTTTATTGCCAACACCGTGCTTCAAGTCTCTACATATGGATAGCAGCAGATGGACACTGAAATCAAATGAATGAAGAAACAGATGATAGAGGGATGCAATGGAGCCAGGACATTTCCAGGTGCAGACTTGGATAATCATTAATGTGTTAATCATTATGTTAAATGTATGCATTTAGAAAATTAAAGTAGGTTGCCAATAAAATATGTCCAGAAAACGTACGGAATTTAACTTATGGAATCTGAGGAGTTTTAAGAATGAAGAAACATTGTGAAAACCAAAGCAGAATATTTCAAGGTGGAAAAGATCAAGTGGCTTTCTGAACAAGCTATTAAGGTAGTCATGGAAAAAGGCAGAATGAAAGCCTTAAGCAACAACAAAGACATATGATGACTCACTGATTCTTTTGTTCATGTCCTATTTCTGTAGATGCACCATCAATTTCTGTAGCTTTCTGACCAGAGTGCTGATCTAACTTCATCTTATAATACTAGACGTTCTTGTAAGTAGGAAACATTTTCTTCAGTACATTGGAGGCTGACGTATCCACTATACAGAATTTCAGTATACTTCATCTTTGATATTCTTTGAATCAGTTACTTTCTGTCTACTGGCATCCTTTAGCTATCAATCTGAGGTTGGAACCACCTGAGTTTGAAGATGGGAAGACTTTCCTTGTAATGTCATTATAATACTGCTTCTTGTCTCTTCTAACAGTTCTTTGAAATTCTTTTGTTAAATTCCTTCTTTGTGTTTCTTGGCTTTTGCTTTTCTTCTTGGCAATTTCCACTATTCTAACATCTAGTTTGGGTTTTGTTTTGGTTTCTTTGGTCTTTGATGGTCATTTTTCACATCCTTAATAACTTCCTTGATTTCATTCCACAGTTCCTCTGGTTCCCTATTAATGTGGTTCAGGACTTCAAAACAATTCCTGATGTTCTCCTTAAAAATGTGGGTATATGCTCGAGATCATATTGTAGAAACTGTTTGCCTTTGTTCCTTGCTGCAGCTTAACTTGGAACTTGCACATGAGGAATTTGTGATCTGTTCCACAGCCAACCTCTGACCAGAACTTTGCTTTTATAACAACTCTTTCACCTCCTTGTATCAATAATCTAGTGAATTTGATTTCTGTGCACTCCATCTGGTGATGTGTATGTATATACTGTAGGTGTCATTTTGGTTGTTTGAAGGATGTGTTAACAATGAAGAAATCATTGGACTGGCAAAAATTGAGAAGTCATTCTGCTTCATTTCAGCTTCTTATGCCATACAGTATGTTTTTCTTATTATTATTTTTAACTTTGGCATACTAATCTTCAACCACAAACAGCTCATTCTGCTTGCATGTTTGATCAATTTCAGAATAAATTTGACCATAAAATTCATCAACTCCTGTGTAGTAGTTAGAGTATAAACTTGGATAAATGTCACATTATAAATGGTTGTCTGTAAAATTAATTGATATTATTCAGTTATTGACTGCATTGTATCTGAGTACTATATTTGGTATGTCCTTTCTATGAAAGCAACACTATTCCTTCTTTGCTTTTCATGTCCTGAGTAGTAAACAGTATGATCTGATTGAAAGTTTCCAATTCCAGTCTATTTCAATTTATTGATGCCTAAGATGTCAATGTGTAGTCAACTAATTTCATCCTTCACTGTGCTCTTTTCATCTTCATGCCTCTTGCATTCCATCTTCTCATTGTAATTCTGGCTTTACAACTTTGGATTCTCTCTTTCTGCATGGCAGCGTCAGCAGCTTCGCATTCCAAAGGCTTTAAACTAGCCACATCATAAACATTAGTATTCTGAAAGATCCTCAGGTCTTCCTCAGTAGCTTGTTGAGTGTCATCTGACCTGGGGGGCTATCATCCCACACTGTACTGTCCATCATGTTATATTATCTATCCATGAAGCTTTCATGGTAAGATACAGAAGTAGTTTATTGCCTTTTCCAAGTGCAGTATGAAATGACACCTTTGCCATTAAAGTGATCGTCTACCTCCAGCATTTTCCTATATCACTGGTGCCTGATACAGCTACCTGTTTGCTCTAGCTCGGCAGCTAGTATGACCTTCACACCTAGGTGCCTCTGCTGGGAATATATATAATACACTCCCAATAGTAGTTACTCTTCCAGCCCAGGAACATTCTCACCACAATGAGGCAGCAGAGCAGGACTTTTTGATAGTGTCTAAGGTCCCCCTAACACACAACTAATTTACACAATATCCTATCCCCTGAATTCTGGCTGTACATAGCTGTATAAGATCATATATATATGAAACTATAGCATGCTTATCAGAGAGGGAAAGAAGCTGCATTTGGGCCATACAGAAAAAAATCACAATCTCTAAAGCAAGGATAAATAAGGGAAGGGCCTACTCATTCCATGTGATTGGCTTTATGATTCTTAGAATCTTACAGATCTATTGCTCAGTGAATTGAACCGCTCCCAAGTGTAGTTGTATGCTTGTTGGAGGATCATAGAATGTTTTCAAATTTTAATGTTAATTGCATTTATTTTCCATCTCTCCTCTGGGAGTTCAAGGTGGCTTATATGGGTTCTCTCCTTATTTTAACTCTGTGAGGTCGTCTAAGGTAGGTTAGGCTGCCAGAATAACCGGCCAAAGTCACCCCGTAATCTCCGTAGTTAAACAAGCAATTGAACCTGGGTTCCCCAAAGCCAAACACCTTAACTGTTACAATGCACTCTCCCAGTCTTGGTAGCTAGAGATTAGGAGTCTGCGTTATGATCGGAAATTGGTTCCTCCAAGTCAAAGTATTGATGCATCTAGCTCGATCAACACAGGACTTCCAGGATTTCACGCTTATCTCCTTCCGAGCCTTTCTGGAGATGCTGGAGGCCGGGGCTCCCAGCAGGAAAGGACGGACCGAGAACGCCACGCAGCACCACGCGAAGCTCACTCGCCGCGACCCGCTTTCGGCAAGAGGGCGCTTGCGCTCTTCCGCTGCCAGTTCCCCGCTTCCTCCTCACCCCACGCTTGCTGGGTGCGCGTGCGCCGGAGGGGAATATTCTCTCTCCCCCAACCCGGAAGTGCCTCGCGCTGCCTCAGCTTGCGGTTAGGCGGGAGGGGAGGCGGAGGCGGCTCCGTCGCCGAGGCTGGTCTGGCTCAGGGCGAGGGAGTCGCCAAGTGGAGCCGCCGCCTGCGTTGGCCGTGTCCTGCTCCAGGTAGGTGCGAAGGGAGGTGAGTCCGGGCGCCCCCC